TCGTAGTTTTTCTCTACACCTCGCATGATGCTGCCCTGACCAACACTCAACAGCTATTCCATGGTCCCGACGCCTGTTCACGTAGGGGGCGATTTTATCAAAATAGATCTAAACAAACGGCCGCTGAGAATTTTTGCTCTGTGGGGAGCTTTTTTCTTGCTCCCTCTGCTGAAATTATGAACTACAGTTAGGAAGGCAAATGGGAAACATCATGTCATCAACAGATCACGGCTATTTGAACATGCTTGACCGCCATTGTTTTACGAATTCAGGCGATAATCCAACTGTTGCAAGGCAAAAATGGTGATTATGGCCGAAAGGGGTTTGACCCTGATGTCGAAAAATGATCGAAGGCCCCGCGCAAACGAAGCCTTTAGTTAGACTATGTGGGAAAATTTTTTCACTCCCTCCGGCATGGGCCCTCGTGAGCACACCTTGTCATGGCCCGCGAATAGCTTTTCATTTCCTCTGACTTCTTTTCAGTATAGGTAGAGATTGACAGCAAACATTGCATTAATTAGTGAGAGGGATTGGTTTCAGAAGTAGTAGTTTCTGGAATATGAGCTAACTGAATAGAGCCCGTTTGGTACCTTAAAAATAGCGAAAATTCACCGTGTAACTCAAGTGCTCATTTTAGGCTACAAATGAGCTTATTGCTAAAGTTCCGAAGTGCACACAGTCTGAAATGAATTCGGCTGTCGAATCGGCTAAGAACGCTTACAACTCATGGAAAAAGACGTTAGTGACCTGTTAATATAGCTGAATTCCTGGCGAATTCATTTAAAGATTTATTATTCATTCTCTTCAGATCGCCCCTGGCGCGACAGCAGACTATGTTCAAACTTCGAGAATTGATCATGCGTGACTCTAAAAAGCTTGTCGAGAACATCACACAGGAGCAAGGAAAGACACTGATCGAATCTGAAAGAGACGTCGGCAGAGGACTTCAGGTTACTGCGAACACAATTTACAGCCGAATTTGCTATGCTCTCTTACTAGTCTTACAAAGGTACTTTAGATGGTTGAACATGCTTGCGCAGTGCCAGAGCTCATGCTTGGAGAGACCCTGCCAAGGTGAGCTTCCTCATTTGCTCACTTACTAACCAATAAGTTTTTAAGTTTGTATTTATAGCGCTTCACGCGACTTGGATGTTCTATCATTCCGCTATCCGTTGGGAGTCTGTGCTGGTATCATGCCATTCAACTTCCCGGTTATGGTACCCTTGTGGACATTCCCTCTTGCACTTGCCACCGGAAACACCATGGTGATCAAGCCGTCAGAACAAGATCCTGGAGCTTGCTTGATGCTCGCCGAACTCGCCAAGGTGAGCGCAACTGCGTTTCGATCTTGCTCATATGGCTTATGGGTCTGAATTTCAGGAAGCTGGAATTCCTGACGGATGCCTCAACATTATTCATGGTCAGCACGACACCGTAAACTTTATCTGTGATCATCCCGACATCCAAGCAATTTCCTTCATTGGAGGCGACAGAGCGGTAGGCTATTGACTAACTTATAAGCTTCCTTGGCCACAGTTGCAGTGGGAAGAGTTGCTCTGAAGCGCAGTGAGAGCTACAGCAACGAAGATAGAGTTACTGAGGAATTTGTATGAGGAACGCCCATCGTTACACATAACTTGTTCCAGGGTAAATACATCTACGAACGAGGAGCGAAGAACGGAAAGCGAGTCCAGTCGAACATGGGAGCTAAGTGTCACGGAGTTGTCATGGCAGACTGCGACAAGGAGAGGATGATCAACCAGGTATATTCGAACTTCTCAGACAGGCTGACACCAACGCTCATTTCGGCTTCTGGCCGGGTTGAACCGGCGCGATTTTATTGAGCTGCCGCCCGAGCTCATTCACCGGCATTTCGAGTAGTGTGGAAGCTATCCAGGGGTAAAGTAAAAGTTACGATCACTGAAATGGCGGAGAAGGAGGAAGTGTCTAGTGGTGGTCTCAGCAAAACCCTTCCGTACATTCTAAGGCTCTGACGAAGGCGAGAAGGCCGAAACGTTAGCCAAATAAAGCTCTGTATCATCTTGGCTTGTGGCTTCAGAAGCAAACCCTAAAAGAAGGAAAAGCATTTGCGATTCAATCGTTCAGCAGCAATAGTTGCCTAACAATAAGCCCACTCCAAAAACGAGGTTTTGAAGTTAGCTAGGCCTAGCTCGTGGATATTCGGAAACAATTCTATACTGATTGTTTCAGCAAAAACACATTTGCTCCAACAAGGTGCTGATTTTATAGTACAATTAACAAAACAAAAATGAAACCCTCATACTTTTGGGTGTTCATCGATTCACTTTGAAGGCGAAGTGGTGAAGCGACAAAGTGGTCAGAATTGGTGCCAAGCTGGCTGGGCCAGTAGACAATACTGACTGATTATTCATCTCCTCCACACTCATGGTAATGTTACAAATTCGCCTTTAGAAACGCGGTCCTATTCTTTTACCCGAGGAGTGCTTGAAAGGGCTATTTCTGGGCTAGGCTTGTAACTTCCAAATCTGTCAAATCTATACAGAGGGTGTGAGAAGCTCTGTTTTGCTTGCAGCTAGCTAGCATAGTGGCACAACTTTTGGCATAAGAGAATGATTCGGACTCGACTTTACTCAGGGAAAATGGAGTTGAAAATGGAAGTTTTCTAGGCTTGCTCTGGAATCCTCGCCAGGTCAAACGACAAGATTTACGCTTTGATTAAATGCAATCAGCAAAGCTTGAAACGAGCGAAGTCTCGACAGGTCATCGAGGTGTACTGTCTGTGGGATGGGTGCTAGCGTATGTACATCAGGAAGCAGTTTTTGGAAGGCTTATAAAAGAACCACGTTCCCTCCCCTACCCTTACCTCCCCCGTCCATTAAGCAAACACAAAAAAATGTTGCGGTCACTGAAATATTGACTACGATAAACCACTTTCAACTGTTTGAAAATCGAGTAGCAGTTCACAAAGTGGTTGAGGCGAACCTGATTATCACTTGCAGCAATATTGCTGTCATGAAAGTTGGGGGGGGGGGTGGAAAGCTGAACTCCAGTGTCATAGAGAATTTTCTTCAAGTGATACAATAGGCGCTATTTAGATCACAGTTGGTGCCTTTGATATGGCAGGACAGCGTTGTATGGCGCTTTGCACAGCCGTCCTTGTTGGAGAGGCTCGCTCATGGGTCAACGACATTGTTGAAAGAGCCAAGAAGTTCAGCGTAAATGCAGGTTTGACTCAGCTTTTAACTCAACCCAAAAACTCCATTGAGTTATGTCTGCACATTTTAAGGATGGAAAGACGGAGCCGAAATCGGCCCGGTGATCTCAAAGGCTTCACAGGAGCGCGTAATCAGTCTCATTGCTAGCGCGAAGAAGGTATGCTCAACTGTCAGCAGATTACAACTGCTTGTAGTTCACCGGATATACCGATATAATATTACAGGAAGGAGCTGGTGTCCCGCTTGATGGAAGCAAACACGTCGTCCCTGGCTTCGAAAACGGCTACTTCGTTGGGCCAACAATCATCACCGGAGTAAAGCCAAATATGACTTGCTACAAGGTCGGTCTCGGAAGGCTTCTGTACGACTTCTGCTACACCTGAGGTGTTGAAAGCGTTCTGTTTAGTGATGTTGATTAATTTCAGGAGGAGATCTTCGGCCCTGTCCTTATTCTCATGGAAGCTGAAACCTTGAATGATGCCATTGAGATTCTGAACAACAACCCCTACGGAAACGGAGCTGCCATTTTCACAGCCAATGGCGCTGTTGCTAGAAAGTATGCCAAGCTATTCGTATTTGTAGCTATTTCCAGATGTTTATACTCACCCTTATAGGTTCATCAACGAGGTAGAAAATGGCCATATCGGTGTGAACGTGCCTGTGCCCATCCCCCTGCCCATGTTCTCTTTCACTGGATCGCGCGGTTCGTTCAGAGGCGACTTGAACTACTACGGAAAGGTAAGTTGTATGAGCTGCTCCGTTCAGTGGGAGCAATCGAGATAATTCAAACATTTCCAGGCCGGACTTCAATTCTACACACAGTGGAAGACCGTCACGCAACACTGGGGCGAGAACCTGGCCGATATGAAGCGTCAAATGTCTTTCCCTAAGTAGATGCAATATACAATTGGAATATGACGTGATAGTCAATCTCGGGCTTTTATTTATATTAAGACAAAATGTTTGTTCTATCATGTCACGATTATTTTATTGAAGAAAGCATACCATCACCATCTTAAAGTTCCACCGTACAGCTGACTTACCCATTCATAAGTAATGACGTGTACACATAACACCAAATTCACTCCATGTCAGCTTCTCATCTGCTTACTCTCGAGAGCCTTTGCCAACATATTCGGTAGCTTCAAGAGTTGGACACGGTGCCTTTAGAGCATATAATAGCCGTTTCACAACGATCACACAACGATCTTCCGAAACACGCAAAAGCTCCGACAGCAAAAGGTCCTCCTGGTGGGCTTGTTTTGATGAATTCGAGAAGAGGAACACATTTTTAGAAGAAATACGCATACAAAGCGCTAATGCGACTCTCGTTGGTGAACGCAATTCCAGCATAGAAGCAGAAAGATGAGCTGCCTAATCAATTGCCGTTTCTCTTCGAGAC